AATTTTCCTTGTTCTCCAAGCCAGATCTCTCTCCATAAATCTCCCTTCGTCTCCGATTCTCTCTCTCTAAAACCATCGGTGATCCTCTCCTCTGTTTTCTCCGTTTGAAATCGCCGTTTTCTTAACTTCCGATGGCGATGATTGAACAAAGGCCGAAGACGAAGATCGTTTGTACACTCGGTCCTTCTGCCAGATCCGTTCCGATGCTCGAGAAGCTTCTCAGGGCTGGTATGAACGTCGCTAGGTTTAACTTTTCTCATGGATCTCATGAGTACCACCAAGAGACTCTCGATAATCTCCGTCAAGCTATGCTTAACACCGGGATCCTTTGCGCCGTCATGCTCGACACCAAGGTGAGATCGCTCACTTGTATTTGTCTTGTACTTGTACGGTTACTGTGCGTTTTCTGCTCTCTCTTCGCGATTCCAATTTCATCTTCTTTGACCTGGATTCGACTGTGATCTGAATTTCTAGGGTTTGTGAGATTTCGGTTGTTTTGTTGGGAATTTTGATTGGCTTATTCTACTTTTTGATCTGCAAGTGCAACACTGACGCGTCTATTTTGTTTTTTTGTTTTTCTTGGTATAAAATGTTTTGTCTGGCCTCTTTTGTACTCCTCTATCGATGGGAAATGTTTTATATTTTGTCTGTTTATGCCATTTCCTTTGGGAAGCTTTTTATTTCAACTCTGCTAATGAAGAACTCTTACCAACCTTGGTTTCTACTTTTCTGGGAATTACTACTTTTGTTTTGAATTATGAAATCTAGATCTGTGAGACTCTTGTTTTTGTGGTATCGTAATTGTTTCTATTTATAACCAAATCAGTTGAGAAGAGTAAAAGCTTGTTGTGAAGACTGGGTGTAGAATTTTAAGTTATAACTTAGATCAGTAAAACTGATAGCTTGGTTTTAAAAACTTGTAATTGTGGAGAGCAGAGAGCGTTGATATAGACGATGTTCTTGGTGTTGTCTCCTGTCTCTGAGGGTTGATAGATTATTGGTATTGTTCACTCTATTCTCTGATTATGGTTTTATGGTCAGAGAAGTTAATTAGTGTGTTAAGTGTTTAAATTTCTGCTCGAATTGTTTCTTGTATATGTAAATGTCACACCTTCTTCATGTATGTTTGATTAAGGCAGCCTGTCCATGATGCGAAAAAACAAGAGACTTATGTTTGTGGAGTCAGAACAAGATGGTATTGATATGCAACTGTTCTTGAATTATTCTCTTGTCTATGATTATTGATTTTTCTACCAGAGAATGTAATCAGTGTGTGAGGTAGATGTTATAGCCAAATCTCTTTTGATACTCTTAACGTCATTGGTGTTTCAAACTTTCAATTGAACATTTCTCTTGTCAACTTCTTCCTTGTATTTGGCAATGTCTAAATTGTGGCAGATTCATTTTGTTTTCTGATTATACTAACGGAAGATTTTGTATTTTCTCTTAAAGGGTCCAGAAATCCGAACCGGGTTCTTAAAAGATGGGAAACCAATCCAATTGACACAAGGCCAAGAGATCACCGTTTCAACTGACTATGATTTGAAGGGTGACGAGAACACAATTTGCATGAGCTACAAAAAGTTGGCTGTAGATGTGAACCCAGGAATGGTCATACTCTGTGCTGATGGTACCATCTCGTTACTTGTCCTCTCTTGTGACAGAGAGAATGGTACAGTCCGTTGCCGCTGTGAGAACAGTGCGATGCTCGGTGAGAGAAAGAATGTCAATCTCCCTGGTGTTGTTGTGGATCTCCCAACTCTAACTGAGAAAGACAAAGAAGACATCATGCAATGGGGAGTCCCGAATCAAATTGATATGATTGCTCTGTCTTTTGTCAGAAAAGGTTCAGATTTGGTTCAAGTCCGGAAGGTACTTGGAAAGCATGCTAAAACCATTCTTCTCATGTCAAAGGTATGTGAACTCAAAGCTCTCTTTCTGTTTCTGGAAACTACATGATCAAATCTTTAGGTTGTGATGGTTTTGTGTTTGTCTTTTTGATGGAGTAGGTTGAGAACCAAGAAGGTGTGGCAAATTTCGATGACATCTTGATCAATTCAGATGCTTTTATGATTGCGAGAGGAGATCTCGGCATGGAAATCCCAATCGAAAAGATCTTCCTAGCTCAGAAAGTGATGATCTACAAATGCAACATCCAGGGAAAACCAGTGGTCACAGCAACTCAGATGCTCGAGTCCATGATCAAATCTCCTCGACCCACAAGAGCCGAAGCCACAGATGTTGCAAATGCTGTCCTTGATGGCACAGACTGTGTCATGCTCAGTGGTGAAACTGCAGCTGGAGCATACCCTGAGCTAGCTGTCCGTACAATGGCTAAGATATGCGTGGAAGCCGAAAGCACCCTCGACTACGGAGATGTCTTCAAGAGGATCATGCTAACCTCTCCTGTTCCAATGAGCCCGCTCGAGTCACTCGCATCCTCAGCGGTCAGAACCGCTAACTCAGCTAGAGCCACTCTCATAATGGTCCTAACCAGAGGAGGAAGCACGGCAAGACTTGTGGCTAAGTACAGACCAGGAATGCCTATTTTGTCGGTCGTTGTCCCTGAGATCAAAACCGATTTCTTCGACTGGTCTTGCAGCGACGAGTCTCCCGCGAGACACAGCCTTATCTTCCGCGGTCTGATCCCTGTGCTCTACGCGGGATCCGCGAGAGCCTCCCACGATGAATCAACCGAAGAAGCTATTGAGTTTGCGACTCAGCACGGGAAAGAGAAAGAGCTGTGCAAGACTGGAGACTCCGTCGTTGCTCTACTCCGAGTTGGTAACGCTTCCCTTATCAAGATCTTGACCGTCAAGTGATGACTTTAGATGGACGGTTGGTTTGGTTCCGGTTTTGGCGGTTTGTGGGAAACGCCACTATAAACGTTTTACTATGGGATTATTCAAGATTGTGATTAAAAATCTTGAGATTAGAAAACTCAAGTTCTCTTTCTTGCCAATTACTTCCACTATATTGTGACCAGTGAATCCACTTGACGGTTCTTTTTTTTTTTGGATTATTGGTTGTATGGAACTATTGATCATTCAACAAGTATCATA